ACCAGGAGGAGGGCGGAGAGCCCGGCCGGGGCTCTGCTCTCCCCGGCGGCCAGAGCGCCGGGGGAGGGCGGCGAGCCCACTGCGGCTCCGCTCTCCCCGGCGGCCGGAGCTGGAGCACCGCACTGCACCGCCCCCCTCCAGGTGCCGCCCCAAGCACAAGCTTGGTGGGCTGGTGCCTGGAGCCAGCCCTGGGGGCCGGCTCCAGGCAGTGCTTACCTCAAGCAACTTCCGGAAGCAGCGGCATGTCCCCGCTCCGTCTCCTACGTGGAGGCGCGGGCAGGCTTCTCTGAGTGTTGCCCTGTCTGCAGGCACTGCCCCTGCAGCTCCCATTGGCCGCGGTTCCCGGCCAACGGGAGCTGCAGGGGCTGTGCTTGGGACGTGGGCAGCGTGCGGAGCCCCTGGCTGCCCCTATGCGTAGGAGCCGTAGGGGGGACATGCCGCTACTTCTGGGAGCCAGGTGGAGCTATGGCACGCGTGGAGCAGGGCAAGCCTTGGACCCTGCTTCCTGGCAGGAGCTTGAGGGCTAGATTAAAACGTCTGAAGGGCCGGATGCAGCCCTGGAGCCGTAGTTTGCCCACCCCTGGTTTTAGCAATTGGTGCCTGGAACGTTTCCTGAAATTCTGGGCTGGATCAGTCACAGCACTCAAAGGTTATCATGTTGCAGACAGAATGAGAAATGCCAGGGAATTGGGTGTACGGCCAAGCTCCGTCAGTTACAAGTTACCGGCTATCAATGAACAATGATCAAGTGCTGATCACTTGTTTTGATGATCAGTTATTTACCGGTAATGATCAGTGAGCTGGGGCAGTTACTGTTGATCAGTGATTATCATCTGTCAGTTACTGACTCTAAACAATCAGAGATGCCTGACAGAGTGCTGCAGTTTCCTGTGGCAGTGAGTACCGCAGGTGAACGGTCTGACATGTGAGAGCTGTGAGGCTTCCTCTGGGGTCTTACCCTGGATGCTCCCCCTTGTGATGCAGGTTTGGGCGACGGGTCATCCTGCTGTGTTCTCTGCTGTTGATGGCTGTCATGGGAACTGGGGCTGCCTTGTCCTCAGACTTCCTCACCTACTGCGCCTTCCGCCTGCTGAGTGGGGTTGGTCTGTCTGGCTTCCTCCTCAACTACATCTGCCTCAGTGAGTATCCCCAGGGCAGGGGGAATGGGACAGGGCCTTTCCCCTCTAGGGTGCACCAGCTACAATCCAGCCCCAGGGCAGGGAGACCAACTGGCTTGTGGGGGATAAGATATGGAGCTTTCTGCTCCACTGGACTCTGTCTCCAATCTGGCCCTAGAGTGGGAGCTGGCTGGCTTTGGGGGATGGATATGAGGCCTTTCCTCACCAATGGACCCTGGCTCCAATCCAGCCCCAAAGCGGAGGGACTGGCTGGCCTAAGAGGGTGAGGAATGGGGTATGGGGCCCTTCACCATAGGGGGCACCAACTCCAATCCAGGTTAATGATGCCCAGGTACCTTGCCCATCCAGTGTCCCATTGCATAGCATGCAATGACTTTGCTGTATCTCAGCCCAGTTCCTAGCAGGAATATCTCGGCTGGCACTAATTGTGGGAGGCTCAAGTGGGGAGGCTGAAAGGACCACAAAAATGAGCCTCCCCATCCCCAAGGCTGGCCTGGGCTGAGGCCCATGAGTGATGGGTGTGGGGAGGGGCTTGGGCTGAGAAAGGAGCTCAGGAGTCACCCCCCAGCTCAGATGTTTCATCTCTCTGCCCCTGCCCAGGTCTGGAATGGGTCCCCACCAAGTCCCGTGCCCTGGTGGTGACATGGCTGAGTTACTGCAGCACGGCAGGCCAAGTGGTGCTGGCTGGCCTGGCCTACGGCATCCGGGACTGGCGCTGGCTGCAGCTGGCCATTTCCACCCCCTTCTTCATCTTCTTCCTCTGCGCCTGGTGAGTCCCCCATCCCCAGAAGGGGCTTGGAGAGGAGTGGGGTCCAGTAATGAGAGCAGGGGGCTGGGAGTCAGGACTCCTGGGTCCTACTCTCTGCTTTGGGAGGGGAGTGGGGTCCAGTGGTGAGAGCAGGAGAGAAGACTGTGTTCTATTCCCAGCCTGGCCACTGCTTAACTCTGTGACCTTGGTGGGGGCAAATTACATCCCCCCCATGTCGCAGTTTCCCCCTCCATAAAACAGGGGGCTGAAGAAATGACAGAAAAGTGCTTTGAGATCCCCCGGGATCAGCCCCATCTGAGTGGCGTCCTGGCTCCTCCCCTCCCCAGGTGGATCCCAGAGTCCGCACGCTGGCTCATCATTAACCACAGGCATGCGATGGCGCTGAGCAACCTGCAACGGGTGGCCCGGATCAACCGGAAGCAGCTGGGTGGAGAGAGCATCTCCCTGGAGGTGAGACAATGCCCTTTGACTCCCGGGGTCACAGCATGTCCCAGCCCTGATACCCAGCTGGAGGGGGATGGGAGGTCCTTGGGGATGCCCCAGTGGGGTCAGCACCTGGCCCATCTCCTTACCTGCATGGCACCAGGAGCTGGGAAAGCCGAAAGGGGGCAGGGTCTTGTCCAGAGAGGAGCCCGCCCCCCACAAACACAGTGGGGCAGCGAAGGGAGTGGAAGTTCCTTTGTGGGGCATGGAGCTGGGGGGGCAAAGGCATGAGGGCAAGAGGCGCACATCACGCAGGGCGAGGGCCCTGATCCAAACTAGGGTTGAAAGGACTTAATCTCTCCAACCATCTAGTTCTGCGCACACACGTCTGTCCCTCCCTTCCCACACACATCCGTCCATCCCTCCTTATCCACACACACACATCCTCCGTCCCTCCCCAACCATATCTGTCCATCCTTCCTTCCCCACACACACCTGTCCTCCATCCCTGCCCACACACATCCATCCCTCCCTCCCTCCCCACACACACCCATCCATCCCTCCTTATCCACACACACCCGTCCTCCATCCCTCCCCAACCATATCCGTCCATCCCTCCCTCCCCACACAACGTCCACCCCTCCCTCCTCATACACACCCGTCTACCCCTCCCTCCGCACACACATCCGTCCATCCCTCCTTACCCACACACACCGTCATCTGTCCCTCCACACACACCCATCCATCTCTCCCTCCCTCCCTCCCCAGACACATCCGTCCATTCCTCTGTCCCTCCCTCCCCATGCACACCCATCCGTCCCTTCCTCCCCCACACACCCATCCATGCTTCCATCCCTCTCTCCCACACACACACCCATCCATCCCTCTGTCCCTCCCTCTCCATGCACACCCATCCATCCCTCCCACCCCACACACACCCATCCATTCTTTCATTCCCACATACACCCATCCATCTCTGCCTCCTACACACACCGGCCCATCCCTCCCTACACACCGTCCCTCTCTCCCTCCCACACACACCCATCCATCCTTCCCTCCCTGCGCACACCCATCCATCTCTCCCTCACACAGACACGTCCATACCTCCCTCCACCTACACACACTTGGCCATCCCTCTGTCCGTCCCTCCCCATACACACCCGTTCAGCTCTCCCTCCCCACACACCCCCATCCATTCTTTCATTCCCACGCACACCCTTCGATCTCTCCCTACACACCGTCCATCTCTCCCTCCCACACACACCCATCCATCCCTCCATCACACACACACGTCCATACCTCCCTCCCCCCACACACACTCGTCCATCCCTCTGTCCCTCCCTCCCTCCCCACACACACCCATCCATCTCTCCCTCTCACACACACCCATCCATCCCTCCATCACACACACACATCCATACCTCCCTCCCCCAACACACACTCATCCATCCCTCTCTCCCTCCCACACACACCCATCCATCCCTCCATCACACACACACATCCATACCTCCCTCCCCCCACACACACTCATCCATCCCTCTCTCCCTCACACACACCCATCCATCCCTCCATCACACACACACATCCATACCTCCCTCCCCCCACACACACTCATCCATCCCTCTCT